CCAGGCGAGCCAGGCGAGCCAGGCTGCATGGTCAGATGCGAAGTTCTTTCAGATGCTTGTGAGTGAGGTTGAAACCCGCGATCCCGCGACGATGCGGTACGTGAATCAGTTCATGTACAGTCATCTTTACCCAGACCAACAGGATTATGCGGAACCTGAGGTTAAGGATAACCCGCGAGGTCGTCCCAAGAAAACAAATTCAACTAAGTGTAAACCATGTGCTTGGGAGAACAACAATAGATCGCGAGTTCGGAAATCGAGCCGTACGACCACTTCTTTAACGTGGACAGACAAGCTCGTGTTCTCAACAGTCACAAGGGGAAGCAGGTGATACATTTATTTTTTTTAAATATGGCTGAGCGTTAATTAAAGTATTTATATGATTATATAAATTGTGACGTGAAATTATTATGATATTGCAGAGTTTAGACCGACAAATATATTTGATTTTTCAATGTGGCAAAATATCCCCTAGCATATGTTGGACTACATAGAGAGTTACCTGAATGTGGAGGCGAATGGTAACTGCGGATTTCGGGTCATCGCGAGTCACGTGTATGGTCACCAGAAGTACTGGGCAGATACAAGAGACAACATTGCAAAGGAGGTCGACAGCCACCGTGGATTGTACGAGTACATCTATTTTAGAGATATCGACACCGGACTCCGTCGCGTAAGGTGGGGCCGGGGCCCTTGTGGACGAGCTAACTGGTTCGAAGTTCCGCAGGACCTCTACGCCGTTGCGATCCTATTTAATGCGGTTGTCGTTCTGTTGGGCTCTGGTCTGCAAGGTGGGCAGCACAACTTCTTCAGCTTCACAGTGTTGCCTCTCATTGCACCATCATCGGCCAACCATGTCGTGAGATTGTCTTGTGCCATCTTGGTACCGTAGAACACTACATTCGTTTAGGAGGATTGGTGTGGAACTAGATCCTCTGCTAAAGTCAGATTTGTTGTGTAGCCAGGATCACCTGCCCAATGCCAATGATACGAAGAGCTAGCTTTGCTACCCTGGGGATCGATCGATTAGAAAAAAAGAATGGGAAGGAAGTGCTAATCATTGTTACCATGACTGATGATTGTCCATTACCACCTATTCATTTCATGTGGTTCCAGTTTCGAGATCAATCGGTTGTGGGTTGGGAGGATCAGTACGAGTCTAGGTTGCGATTGTGGTTTACTGTTCAAACAAATCCTTCTTGGGTAAAAGAACGATATTATTCAGTTATGGTATGACGCTTCTCATTCAACTTAAGTTTAGCAAACAAAAATAAATAAATGAATCAGTTCAACTTAAGTTTAGCAAAAAAAAAAAAAAAAAACCTTCATTACATTTATTTTTAATATAAATAAAAAAAACCATTCAACTTAATGTTTTACAATAATACTAAAAAAAAACATTCATTACATCATTATTGGACATTGTCGTAATCCAACTTAAACTTAGCCAAATCTTCTTGGACTTGCGCCGCCTCCGGACATTCAACAAGGAACTGCTGCATGGTCGATGTAATGCCCAAAAGACGGTCCACCCACTAAAAAAATGGAAGAATAAAAAAATATGACTAAAATTTATTAAAAAAAATTATTGTAATGAAATAACATTAATTAAAATATAGTAACCAACTTACATATGCGGTATTGGCATGCGTAGGGACCTCGTTCTCGTCCGGCAGCTCCTCGCCTATGAGAGTCGGATGGGAAACCCGATTGTACCACTGCAAGTAATCCTCAGTCGCCTCCCCGCGATCATGTGTAGTGGGGGTGAACATAGCGGTGTTGACCGTCCCAGAAATCGGGAACTGGGTCCAGGCACCTACTGCAGCATCCTCAGAATGCTCAACCTGTAGTTCCTAGACTTCCAAGCACGTACTGCACTGATTGGCTGGTATGTAGAGGGAGGGATAGTCTAGACATACCCCAACTGACGCAGACACCACGCATACAAGTACGGCTCGACAACATCGCGGTATCGAATCAATCCGCTATAAAGAGTCCTCGGCTCTATCGCATCTGAGCTGGAGCTGCCGTATGGCAACCATTGCACCTGTTCACAATTGCATAAAAGCATTTATAAAAATAATTATATTATCTTAAATAACAGGTAACTAAATTTAAATAAAATAACTTCACGTACATCGGAGGCAGTGAGTCTGTTGAGGCACCGACGGATGGCTATGAGCCGATCGTCTGACCTTGGCGCATTCCCTAAGCTCCACGAGCGAGATCGTGCGAGACACTGGGGTCAGAAATCGAGGAAATACTCATATATCCAGGACTGCAGAAGAGTCCGCAGCCTGACAGTCCACTGGAGTCCCCTCGACTGGCAATACCTAGCTGTCTGTACATGTATGACAGCGTAGCCGAACCCCCTATCAAATCCAAGCCGTCAAGCACCTCGTTCAGGAGCTTGGGGGTCACTCTACTACCACTCTTGTCGACGAACAATGTGGTAGCAAGTATAACCCACATCCAGGCATCCACCTCATCCCTAGCCGGTCGGCGTTTCCCCCTGAATGCCCCCACAATGGAGGCTTTGGTCACCGAACCACGCTGCCAGAACGAACTCATGAGTTCAACCTTGGTGACCGAAAGTATCGACATGCAGAGCCCATGGCAGGCATCTGAATCCGGGTCCTCAGTGACCACGGCTCCCTCCACAGGAACGCCCAAAATGGCCCGAACGTTGTGCAGCGTGATGCTCATTTCACCAAAAGGCAGGTGAAACGAGTTAGTATCCGGTTGTCATTGCTCCACAAACGCAGAAAGGAGCGGAGTGTCCAAGTGGGTGTGCATGGAGTCGACCAGATGTGTCAGCCCGATGTTCTTGATTAGAGCTCTCGCATTGGAAGACATCTCATCACGCCATTCCCTCATATTCTTGACCGCTCTCAGTCTGTTGTGGCATTTCAGCAGCCCCCTAAAATCTCCATTTCACATGCGGGAGGTGACGTGCCCTAGAAAGTTAGGGATGACACTCCCATCAATGGGCCCACCGTCCACAGGGCCTTTAATGATCCAGGGTGCATCATTATCGGTCCTAGCTTGTTTGCTAGTACCTGCATTCCAATACAATATATCTGTATATATAGACTTGTTGGCAGATGCATTAAATAAAATATATTTAATAAAACATTCAGTAGTTTTTTTTTTTTTTTTCAATTAATGTACAAACGTTACATTTTACATTAATAAAATTTAATGACAATTTTAAACTAATTTATTATGTAACATTACTACTAATTGATTATAACAATAATAAAAATAATTATAATAATTTTCTAACTAATTAATTGTATGGTTCTTCTAAATTACAAAATAATTATACCGTAGTTGAGGAGCAGGCTGATAATACTTTTCTAACAGTATCGATAATTTGTTATGATTAAGTGAAAATAATTTATGTTAAACAATAATAAACACGTAAATTATTTACCTGATGAGGATGCAGATGGGCCAAAACGCCCCCCAGCTTTTCGTTGAGGAGCAGCCTGTGTAGGAAGAACAGCCTGTACCGGACGAACATGCTGTAGAACCGGCTGTACCGGACGAACAGGCTGTACAGGAGGACGAGGGTGGCTAGGACCCGTAGGTTGTGCGTGGTCCTGATCATCTGAGGAGTCGTCCGAGTCACACTCCTCTGGACCCTGCTCCCTCTCGCCATACGACTCATCAGCATACCCCTGCTGACTATAGGGTAATGGTACGCGTGCACGAGGAGGTATCGACTTCCCTGCGTAGTGGGGAAAACCATATCCCGACTGATCGTACGGTCCTGATGCCGGGGGCATCGAACTGCCTGCCCGGCCAGGATATTTAAAATCCATGCTCACCGTACCAGAGGACTCCGTGGAGTCCCGAACTATCTGGCTGGCCCTTAAAATGATATCCCTGCGGACCATATCGCACTGGTGCCGGGAGTCTCGAACTCTGGCTAGCCTGACGAATCTGTACCCTCCGAGCCTGATCGATTATCGCCTGCCTTTCCCTATCCCTCTCCCGACGAACGGACGCATTGACACCCCGACTTCTAGTGTGTCGAGTGCCAGAACCATCATAATAGTCATCGAACGCCTCGTCGTTATCCCTGCCACTAGATTGTCCAGCTCTGCTAACACCCTGAATCAGAAATATAATTATTAAATTTTTCTATATGTAATAACTATTGTAACAACTATTAAAATAGATTACAATTGATTTTTATTTTAATTTGTAAATTTAATTATTATAATTTTTAATTATTATTATAATTATTATTGTTGAGAATGATAATAATTATTATTACAAATTATTACTATTAATTATAATTAATTCTAATTTATTATTACTATTATAATTAATTTTATTACAATTATTGTTACAAATTATTATTATTAATTATAATAATTATTAGAATTTTTTATTAAAATTATTATAATTAATTTTAATTATTATTACGAATTATTATCATTATTTCGTATAAATATTATTATTATAAGCATTAATAATTTATAATTATTAATATTACTCAACTTATTATTATTATAATATTTAATTATTATAATTATTATAATTATTTCTAATTATTATTATTAATTATAATTATTTGTAATTATTACAATTATTATTATAATTACGATAAAAAAAAAAAAGAAAAAAAAATCGTTC